CACACACGCAGCAGCAGCACACACGCATGTAGCACATAGGCACGCAACATCACACACACACGCGCACGTACGCACGCAGTAGTAAACACACACGCAGCGGCACACATGCACACACATGCAGCAGCAACACACATGTGCGCGTGCACCCACACACGCAACAGCACACACGCGCGCACACACATACCGCATGAGGGGCAAAATCATCTTTTCAGATGACATTTAGACTCAAAATAGACGGAAATGTCGTATAGGAAATAAAATTTAAGACTAGTGTCAAATAGGGTTGAGAAACTTTTGCATAAGAAATCAGATTTTAAAACAGTGTTCTCATCATTTGAGGCATCATTCTACACAGAAAGCGACAAAATTGTGCAGATGCATCTCACCGTACCAACAAGCAGGGATATGACATGAGCACTGCTACTTGAGAGGCGGCTCTTTTTTCCTTTTCCTTTTCCTTTCCAGAGAGCACACGAAAAAGCCCGGGAAAAAAAGAGCAACTTATGTGTCCCAGGACGCCGAGTATCCGACCCGGAGTATCGGCTCGCTGCAAGTCGCAGCCAATCACGAGCCCGGAAAAAATGGCATATGAAATTTGTCGCCGTCGGCCGCCTGGCGCACCCGCGCGTCTGTCGACCGCCGATTGGCCGCCTCGCCCACTTGCGCCGGGCGCGGCAACCTCAGCCACACCCGCACCAACCCGCCCGCGCTAGCTGCGACCCGGCCCCGGCGTCCAGAAGCTTCCGAGCCGGCCGGTCACGAACGCGCCGCGCGGCCCAGAACCTTCCGCCCCGGCCCCCGTCCCGTCGCGCTCGCTCCCGTACTCGGCAGGAGTATTTATCAGCAGGCACCTCCCACTTTCCCGCGGAAGGAAAGCAGCCAGCCAAAGACCACCTGCGTTGGGCGCCACTGTGCTGAGCAATTCTTTCTTTGGTTCTTTGGATTCTTCCGTGTGCGACAGGAGATCGCTGGTTGTTTGCTTGCTCGGCCGCGAGGAGGGATGGACCGGGTGCTGCTGCCGGTGAGGGTGAAGGAGGAGTGGCCGCCGCCGCCGCCGGAGGAGGAGGAGGAGTTGGAGCATCGGGGCCTGGCGCCGCGGCCGATGGAGGGGCTGCACGAGACGGGCCCGCCGCCGTTCCTGACCAAGACGTTCGACCTGGTGGCCGACCCGGCCACCGACGGCGTCGTCTCCTGGGGCCGCGCCGGGGACAGCTTCGTCGTCTGGGACCCCCACCTCTTCGCCGCCGTGCTGCTCCCGCGCTTCTTCAAGCACAGCAACTTCTCCAGCTTCGTCCGCCAGCTCAACACCTACGTGAGTCTCCCCTCTCCTGCTTGCCTTGCTCAACCATTACTTGTTCAGTTAACCTGCACTTGCTAGTCGCTTGCTTGTGTTGCTGCAATCCCAGTCTTGCATTTGTAGAACCAAGATTTTAGCTGAGTTGCTTGAGCAAGAGATGAACGACAAATGACATGATGGAATGCCAAAGCAACATTTCGTGCTTGTCTTACAATACAACTGTGGTGACTATGGTGGTCTGGTCACCATGATTATTGGTATGCATCTGATTCTGGAATGACATAAATCACACAAAAACAAAAATATAAGATGGTTCAGTTTGGTAACTGGGTACAAATTGTGAAAGAAGAGTAACATTTATAGCTGCTCTTAGCATCTAGCGGTAAGCGGTTCTATATGGCAGTGAACTTTGCTAGTTGCCGTGTGTTGGTGTTGGCTGTGTGCATCCAGAGGCCGGGTGTGTGCTCATTGTGTTTTGTATCCTCTTGATGCTTCATTTTGAGCTAATAAAATCCACCCTTCGTCGAAAAAAAATATGGCAGTGAACTATGTTACTGTGATTCTCTTCCCTTTGTGTAAATCTTGTATATCTACAATTAATCAGCAAAGAAGCTGCAAATTAGAATTCTTTGTTTTTTGCCTCTGGTTTGAAGGGTGAACATAGCTTGAACTCTTCAACAGACTACAATAGCTATGATACTAGTACTCCTACTAGGATAGATAGGATTCTTGAATATCTCTGCCACTATCTGCTTACGTAAAGTCAGGGAAAATCATTGAATTTGACGGAAAAATGAGGTTGGGGCCAATCCTTTGGCAGAGGCATGTGCATAAAACCTTATTTCCTGAATTCTTCTTGATACTTCAGAACAAGGAGATATGCTGGGAGGCTGAATAGCCTGCATCTCCTTGACGAACATATTTAATTCTGACATGCTTTTTCTTCAACTTCTTACTGTGTAGCTAGATGGATCAAGACACCGGCTGAAGCTACAAGAACCTGCTTATTTGTTCTAGAAGACTCCTTTCATCACCATCAAGCAATATAGTATACCACTACCTATTCTTCCACTTCTTATAAATTTGGGCATAACACTGTGTGAAACCTACCATTTTATATTGTGTGAAGTATGCCATGTTAGTTGAGCTTTGCTGCTTGTGGCTTGTGAACTTGAGCTAACTGCAGTTGTTCTTCTACTCTTTGTGTTTCTCGAAACTAAAATAAATATGTGACTTATTCTGCAATTTGCAGGGTTTTAGAAAGATTGATCCAGACAGATGGGAGTTCGCGAACGAGGGTTTCATTAGGGGCCAGAGACAGCTTCTGAAGATGATAAAGAGAAGGAGACCAATGTCTTATCTCCCTTCATCACAGCAGCAGGCTCTTGGCTCCTGCCTCGAGGTCGGCCAGTTCGGATTCGACGAAGAAATCGAAGTGCTAAAGCGCGACAAGAACGCCTTACTCGCAGAGGTGGTGAAACTGAGGCAGGAGCAGCAGAGCAGCAGAGCTGACATGCGAGCCATGGAAGAGAGGTTACACCACGTCGAGCAGAAGCAGCTCCAGATGATGGGTTTCCTGGCAAGAGCAATACAGAACCCTGACTTCTTTCTCCAGCTGATCCAGCAACAAAATAAACTGAAGGACCTCGAGGACGGTTACCCGACGAAGAGGAGGAGGCCCATCGACGTAATGCCGTTCCTTGGCCCTGAGGGGACCAGTCAGAGTGAGCCACTCGAGTCCACATTCATTTTTGAGGACAGGGAATTTTCAGAGCTGGAGAATTTAGCCATGAACATTCAGGGCATCAGGAAGGGCATGGAGGATGACAGAGGTGGTCGGAATCAGGGCTGTGGTGAGGCCGAGCTGACTGACGACTTCTGGGAGGAGCTGCTGAGTGAAGGAATGAGGGATGAAGCTGAGATGCTAGAGCTGGAGAGGAGGAGATCTAGATGTTTCGACGCGTAGCGCAAAATATGGGTCATCTAAGTAACAACGATCCAAACTCTACCAGAATTCATAACCATTTAATCTATATACAGTTGTATAGATAGCTGTATTGCATATTGTAGTGCTAATTCATAGTCAAAGACTGATTGTATTGCGGTTCCACACCGATTATGTGGTATATATCTAGTGGTATAAATACTGTCCCTGCATTCTCATCGACAGATTTTTACTCTGATGATCTTAATTAGTTCATACTCAGGCCTGCTTAATGAATGAATTTTCTGGGTTTGGAATCTGCAACTGAGGCCTTTGGTGTAGTGTGCCTAGTGTGCATTGTAACCTGTAATAACCTGTGCGATAGCGGAAAACGTCTTGCCTCTCTTGAAGGACGTGGTTCGTGTTATAAATAAAGGGGGCGCGACCCCAACGATAGTTACGGAGAGATTACTTGGAGAAGAGGAGATAGAGATAGTTACAATTGTGATATGTTTAAGAACTCTAACAACCAAATCTATCTCTACAATCACTGGTAGAAAAAGGGCCTGTTGTCCCGGTTCGTAAGGGCCTTTTGTCCCGATTCTGGAACCGGGACTAAAGGATCGGTACTAATGCCCTGTCCCTTTAGTCCCGGTTCAATCCATAACCGGGACAGATGGGTCTCCACGTGGCCTGTGCGCGGAGCCCAGGCAGGAGACCCTTTGATCCCGGTTGGTGGCACCAACCGGGACCAATAGGCATCCACGTGTCAGCATTTTTGTGGCCGGGGTTTT